CTGTTTGTCTCACCTCATGGGTGATTGTGGTCCTAAGCTGGGCCCTCCAGCATCACCAAATGGGGCTCTGGTCCTGTGGACCTGACACGCTCCTCAGTTATGTGGGGGACACCTGCAATAGGGCTTGGCATGTAGGAGTTGTGAGTCTTCTCTCCTTACACTTCCTGTCCTTACAACCTGGGACACATGAGGGTCCAGGGTAGATCAGCAGAAGGTGGACTGCATGACCTTCTCAGGACTGGGTTGGCTGCCAGCCAGAAGCCCTGAGGAAGACAAGGGGAACATGGACCTCTGTCCCTCTGCACACCACAGTAAACCTCTGTCATCAGATCCCAGGGTCCAAGATGTGCACTCAGCAACCAGAGCTGAAAACATTTCCCAGTGACCAGGGTGCACCAGGCACGCTGTAGGTAAAAGATGAACCAAGTCAGGGACCTCACACCAAGGATCTCAAAGTCTAGTGGGAGAGATAGATTCACCTCAGTGCAGGAAGAATAAAGCAATGTAAGTGATAAAAAGGGAAGAAAAGATTCTACGAGGAACAGAACAGAGGAGGAAGTTGTCAGCAGTTGCGGCCGAGGACAGGGAGAGATGTTCCAGGCACAGGGACTACTACTTGAGGAATCCGGTCCAGGACACATGGGCCCTGCCCCTCCCTGGCACAGGGCACCACAGGCCTGGAGGAAGGAGGGTGTGGGAGCAGGCAGAGCTCCCCTGCCAACAGGGACTTGAAGGTCATGCATAGGCATTTGTAAAGGATTAGAAGGGAGAGAGAATTGTATCCGCAAAAAGCAGCACATCCCAGTCAATAATAAAAGCATCATGAGGCATGGCATGGAAAAAAAGCATCATGTGAGAAAACATTTTGGAAGAGTTAGAATTTAGCAATGACTGTGCAAAGGGTATTTCAGTGCTCATCTCACGGAAAAGCTGATTCATGAGGATACATGCTCAAATTGAGTTTGTTTGAAGTATTCTGATTCAAAAAGATGACCCTACAATAAGGAGAAGAAAATACACATCCTTAAGTGTAATTCTTGGGGCTCCAAGGCTGCAGGGCACCACCAGTTCACCCGTGCGCATATTCACAGTGGGCATGGAAGACCCTTTGCTCTTCTCCAGGGGATCAACTGGAGAGTCCATTTTTAAATTCCTGCCGGGGGATCCTGTTTCCCCTAGTGTGCTCTGGTGTTTTGCAGAACCTTCTCCACCTGATGCAAGTTTGGCCTGGGTCGGTGGAGGAAGTGCTGTTGAGTCCTGCACAGTTGCCTGGAGGTAGAGGGCAAAGCCAGCATTTCATCCGCTGACCCTGTAATTTAGATAACGCATCACTTAATGACCATTCACACTGTGGCTGTAAACAGAGCCCCGGGTAATATACTCAACATTACGTGGAAGTTTGCTGGACGCTGGCCCTCCAGAAGGCATCAAAACCACTCCCCAACTTAGAGCACTGAGAGCAGTGTGAGAGACCAACTGGGAAATGGCAAAGTCACGATGAAGTCTCTTTTCATCTCCCCCTGATAGAAATGCAATCCGGACATAAACAGTACATGCCACGCTGCTGAGGGATGCCTTCCCCAGAGCCAGCCTGTCAATAGTCTCCAAGAACAATCCTGTCCACCTGTTTCCATTTCTTACCATGGGGGAATTTTACATATTTGAGGGATGTGGAATCAAAAAGTAAATAAAATCCACTTGGATTCAAATTCACTAATTTGAAATTTGTGATAATTCTGCGATTATTGGATTATAATTGACTGTCAATAAAGTAAGTCCTCCTAAGCCTGTCAACAGTGTGAGTAATATCATGACAAGTGGAAGGGTTTTCTCATTTATTTAACAGATATTGCTTGCACTGTACACTGTGCTACATGAAAAAGAAACACAAACGTGGACCCTGCCACCAATAAGCACTCAGGCTAGCAGGAGGGACAAACATTAAACAACAAATCACCCAGTTAAATGCTTAGTTATAATTATGGTAAGTGCTGCAAAATAATGGGTATAGCCTATGATAAAGGGGTGTAATGAGCAGACTTGGAATAGCCTGAGGAAGCTGCATCATCAAAGGGACATGTGAACTGGGCTCTGAAGCACATGTTGGAGTTAACCCAGTAATGATGAAAGGATGGAAGTAAAAAAGTCCAGGCAGAGGGAACACCATGTGTAGAAGCCCTGAGGCAGGAAGTAGGATGGCATAAAACTGGAAAAAGACCAGGGTGGTTGGAAAGCCAAGCATGAGGGGAAAGATGGCACAAGGTGTGGATGGAAAGAGAGGATCTGAGTTAAGGAGATTGATCTTCATTCCTTAAAACTGGAAAGCCATCAAGGGATTCTAAGCAAGAGGTTGATATGAACAAGTTTGAGTGTTGAAAGCTGCCTCTTGGTGGAATGGGCTGCTGCAGTGGCCGGGGGATTTGAGACAGCAGCTTGGTCCACACAGTGACTGTGGAGATGGAGACTGGTGTGTAAGGAAGAGACCTTCGGAAATGAAACTCATGGGACTAGGAAATGGATGTCATAGGTGAAGGCACAGGAGGAGGAAATCAAAAGTGACATCAGGTTTCTGAGGTCCCCAGGGAGAAAGTGGGCTTGCAGAAGGCTCATGGACTCTGCTTTAAAAGTGTGGGTTGGAAGGGCTGTGATACAGGGGCACCCAGCTGCCTGGTGGGTGGGCAGAGGCGTGGACTGCAGCCGGGCAAATGGCCTGGCCTGGACGCAGCCTCAGTGTGTGGATGCTTGCAGGGACCATGGTGTGGGGACAATCACCGCATGTAGACTGTACAGTGAGGAGAGAAGAGGCTCCAGGACTGGGAGCAGAGGAAATCCAGCAGTCAAGGAGAGGAAGAGACTAAACATCCAGACAGGGAGGGGAGAAGGAAAGAGTCAAAGTGAGAGAGTATCTCAAGTAGACGGTGGCCATTAGGCTAGATTGCAGTCTAGAAGTTCAGTCAGATGAGGAGCAAAAGTGCCATCAGAAGATCCATCAGGGAGGAGTGGGGGCCAGACACTAAAGGCCGAGTGAGACAGGTAAGGAAATAATGGAGGGGGGAGATAAGAAGCATTTAAGAGAACAGTCTTTGAAGGCCACAGACATAAATAGGAATTGACCAGGTCATGATTAAATATTGATGTTTATTTCTATGCATTCATGACGAGGTTCCAAGACCTTGTTTAGAACATGGCCCTGCCATGTGCACTGTATCCTCCATCATGCTGCCTGAAGGGAACACACCCTTTCACTGGCAAAGTGCTCTACCAGCAAGAATTTTCGCCAGTTCAGAGTGGCTTCCATCAAATGGTTCAAAGTGGTGAGCAAGAGAGTTTTTCCACTGGCATCTGGAAAATTCATTCCAGCAGCAATGTCAGTGAGTCCATGAGGCAACTGCCTAGGGGGAAAGCCTAAGCACAGGGTGAGGGGTGTCCTAACCATTCACAAAATAAATGCCACTATGTCGTTCTGCACCTCCATCTCACCAGTGTGTGACACCAGATGGGTTTCATCCTCATCCCTAAGTCAGATCTCAGTGGAGCTTCAGGCAGGGGAGTGGCCTTATTATTTAGAGATGCAAATGGATCGATCTGAATTTTTTGGAAGACCATAAGACCCAAGACCAGGAGTCTTTCTCAACAAAGTTCATATTATCTTTTCCCTTCTTTTCTGTGCCTCAGTTTGCCCTCCAGGAAAAAAAAAAATCAGAATAAAGATAACCCAATTCAGAGCATTACCACAAACAGTGATTTAGCTTCTATTTATTGAGCTCAGTATACAAAGGTATACAAGACTCCCTTCCTTGGTTCAAGGAACTTCCTTTCTAGTTGAGGAGAGAAAGCAGCGATCATCAGTTCCTGAAACATATGGGTCATGATGTATGAAGTGACAACACGGCTGAGCTTTGGAAAAGGTAAACCCAGTATGCTTTGGGAACATGAAGGAGGCCCATCTAAGCCAGCCTGGGAAGTCAGGGATAGGGCCTTGCCGTATGGTGGTAGACACAGAGCACCTCTGTGATTCTCCAAAGAAATAGATGCCACAAATTCAAGCTATTATGATTATTAATATTATTAATAAACTACCTTGAACTAGATTAATATCCAGGAGCTACAAGCTGGGAAAGGTCTTACGGAAACCCCAAAGGTCCGCATTTAAAATGTGCAGAGTGGATTTATTTTAATTAGTTCACTCTTCATTCTGAGCATTCTGAAAATCCTCCTGGGCAGCTTTTTGGTTCTTTTAGCTGTCAGAAGTCTCAAGCCTTCTGCCAACAATGAATCCAACACTATGCTGCCACTTGCTGAGTGGACTTGACTTTCACTGCTCCAGTTCTCTTTGCTGCAAAACCCAACTTATCAGTTCAGTGGGAAAAGGGCCTTAGGTCAGATTTTATTAGCAAAAAATAATTCACAACTGGGTCAATCATATTAGAAAACTGAAAAGCTTAAAACAGGTTTCTAAAAATGTCTTGGACCATGGACAAATTAATGGATATTAGGAGGGATATAAATTGACCTTATGGTCAAATATGCCTATTTTTGGAATTTTGTTGAGCTCAAGTATGGATTCTTTTTCATTTTTGAAGGCCAATTACATTGTTGTATAACTGTCATTTAAAGATACTTTGGGTCAGGTGTGATGGTTCACTCCTGTAATCCCAGAACTTTGGGAGGCCAAGGCAGGAAGATCACTTGAGGTCAGGAGTTCGAGGCCAGCCTGGCCAATATGGTGAAACCCTGTCTCTACTAAAAATACAAAACTTAGCTGGGCATGGTGTTGCACACCTGTAATCCCAGTTACTTGGGTGGCTGAGGCACAAGAATTGCTTGAACCCAGGAGGTAGAAGTTGCAATGGGCCAAAATTACATCACTGCACTCCAGCCTGGGCAATAGAGCAAGACCTTGTCTCAAAAAAATAAAATAAAAGATACTTTTTCCACTGAACTTGTGCTTGGCCCTTTGGTCAGTTGGGTTCCACTGAAATTATTTTTCTTCTTTCTAGATGGGCAGTGATGACACCAAATATAAGCATAAAAAGATGTTTTAAAACTACACATCCTGAAACTCAGCACAGCAGGCACCTGCAGCTTCCAGTACTGTAACAGGTATGGAACTAATCCAAGAGCAGGCATCTAGAAACACCTTTTGTTTTTGGCCATTATGCTGAAAGGTACAATGGGGGCTGGGGGTGGGGGGAGAATGAGGTCAAGTTTCTGACTGTCCCGTCTGACCCCAGGTATATCAAATCAGAATTGAAGAAATTATCTGAATAAAGCTAGCAAGGTGGGAAGGGAGTCTCTCTTTTCCTTGAGGCAGAAGCAATGTAGTTATTTTCTGAATGCTCTGAAAAATCCATGAACATCCTTCACCACTGTTTGGAATGAGGATGTAAACCCAGGATCAGGTAGGGTTCTTCAACCACAAGCAACAGAAGCAGAAACTGAACAAATGAGGTAGAAATGCATATGTATTAAAAGAAAAATGGAGGTCTTGTAGACTCAAGGTGACAGCTAAAGTTCCAGGCTAGGAAACGTCAGGGGTCAGGTATGTCCTTAAGCATAGTGAAAGCTCTACCACCAGCAAGGAAGCCTGAGCATGCTTCCATCCTTGTGTGGCTCCAGGAGAACTGCTACAATCCATGGGCTTGTCCTCGGTCTCACACCTGCTATTGGCCCTGGGGAGCCTCTGCAGGCACCTTGACTTTCAGCCCCACAAAGACTGAAAACCAAGGGGTGAGGAAATTTCCCACAAAGTATCAAGTGCTTTTTCTCAGAGGATGCAAGCTGAGTATTCAAAAACCAAATAGCAAATACCTACTAATACGAGGGTGTGTTTAATTGGTTAGAGGCTTGGTTGACTCTATCTAAGCTTCTAAATTTAGGTCTCCAACTAACCTATTTTCATCTTAATGTAAACTATCTTATTTTCATTCAAAGTGTAGAAACCCCCAATATTACTGAGTTCAGCCATTGCCAAGATCAGAATCCCAGCATTTAGGACATCAGGAGACTCCGGACTGTTTTGATAGGATCTCAGGGTACAGAAAACCTGACTCATAGTGGTCAATGCCACTCAGGTTCCATCAAACCCCACACCAGCCTCAATAACATAAATTCATGTGGGATGGTGCTGCCATGGGCTCACAGCTTAGCAGTGCTGGCCAGGACCTGGGCTCCTCACCTGTCCACCCTGCCATCCTCTGCAGGTTGGCCTTCAGTGGCCATTGCTTGTCTCTCAGGGCTGCAAAGTGAATTCAATGTTACGGTTGAATCATGGCCCCCCTAAAAAAAATCATAACTCTCATTACCTCAGAGTATGACCTTTTGGAAATAAGGCTGTTACAGATGTATTGTACTTAGTTAAGACAAGGTTATTAAGGTGGGCCCTAATCCAGTATGACTGGTGTCCTTATGAAAAGGGAAAATTTGGGCAGGGCGCAGTGGCTTATGACTGTAATCCCAACACTTTGGGAGGCCAAGATGGGCCAATTACTTGAGCCTGGGAGTTCAAGACAAGCCAGAGCAACATGGTGAAACCCCATTTAAACAAAAAATAGAAAAATTAGCCAGGTAGGGTGTAGTGTACCTGTAGTCCCAGCTGCTTGGTAGGCCGAGGCAGGAAGATCACTTGAGTCCAAAATGTCGAGGCTGCAGTAAGTTATGATTACACCACTATACTCCAGCCTGGGTGACAGAATGAAAAACATTTTTTTAATAATTAGAAAATTTTTAAAAGTTTGAAAAAGGAAAACTGTGGACAGAGAGACAAGCATAGAGGGAAGATGATGTGAGGACACAGGGAGAAGACGTGTGTCCTAAAGCCAACGAGAAATGCTAGGATCAATTCTTCCTTACAGCCCTCAAAAGGAACCAACCCTGCGACACCTCGATTTTGGACTTCCAGCCTCCAGAACTGTGTGGCAATACATTTTCAATGTTTAAGCCATCGTTTGTTACAGCAGCCCCAGCAAAGAAATCAAGCAGTTTCTGGCTTCTTGTCTGCATTCAAGGCAGGAAGAAGAGCACTGACAGAGCGGAGACAACAGGAATTGCTCCTTTGATTAGAGAGGCAGGAACTTTCACAGACTGCTGGCTGCTTCCATCCCTGTGATCACAGCCATGTCCTCTGGCCATGCTAACTGCATGGGAGTCTGAAGACCGAGCGTGTGTCTTCTACTGGGGAAGGCGTGAGCTTGGCCAGCCCTCAGAGTCTCCCCTACTCATCACGCGGGCTGATGCTCTCCCCTTGTATGCAGCCTTCTAAAAAGCATATGCTGTCATGAGCATGTACTTTCCAGGGAGCCAGCAGCCTGCCTTTCAAGGTAGGACTGAAGAGCGTGTGCAGAGAGGCCTTCCCAGAGCAGGTCATTAGCTCCTCATAAGCTCATTCAGTCCACCAGAACTCAGGTCCCATCCTTTCTCCAGCTTAGTTCTGTCTTTCACAGAAACAAGTCAATCAGCCGATGAATCAGCATTGCTAACTTACCAGAGTGCTGTGGTCAAGACATGGAAACAACAGACCCCAATGAAGCCTGGCTTCCAGGATGAAAGACAAACATTACTGACAGCCCAGCGGCTTTGAGCCTATGCCGGGATGCTACTCCCAATCTCCTGGAGCCTTTATCAGATATGCAGTTTGAAAACATTTTCTTCCATTCCGTAGAATACTTTTTCATTTTTGTAATTGTTTCCCTTGCTCTGCAGAAGCTTTTGACTTGATGTAATCCCACTTGTCTATTTTTGTTTGTGTTGCTTGTGAACTCAGCCTTTTTACTCTTAGAGCCTTCAACTAATTAAATGAGGACCACCTGACTTATAGAAGATAAACTGCTTTACTTAAAGTCTACTGATTTTAGTGTTAATCACATCTTAAAAATACCTTCACAGAAACAGCTAGACTGGTCTACAGTCTAGACGTATAGCAAGCTAGCCAAGTTGACACATAAAATTAACCCTCACAGGCACTATTTTCCACCTGGACCAGCACATATTCTTGCGTAGAGCTGTATACCCTGTTCACACCCTGCATCTTTTTCTTTTGCAGAGAAAAAAACAAAAATTCCCCACTTTGCAATTGCATCTGTGAATGAGAAGCTCCAGTTTTGTGGGAAGAGGGAAACACCTAAACTTGCCAGAATCATCACCAGAGACACCTGCCGGCTGACGAGGACAGCTTTCTTGGAGCCGACAGATGATGCAGGGAAACAAGAAGTGCACAGACGGGTTCAGTGACTCCTCCAGCATCGGCAGCGTGTTGGATGATGCAGACAGGGAAGTGAGCAGCCTCACAGACCGGGCATTCCGGAGCTTGTGCATCTCAGAGGATACATCCTTCCATGACTCCTATCTGGCCGTGTCCCCAGATATCACCCGACAGGTATTTGGGACTTTTCACCAGAGAACAGTGAGCCACACCCAGAGGAAAAGTGGCATTTGGAGCCAGTTACCATCACAGGGCACGGAACATTCAGGCTGGGCAGCCACCTTCCGACAGCTACCCAAGTACGTTCAGGGAGAGGAAAAGTACCCCAAAACCAGCCCCCCACCAACGCCAGTCCAGAGGAGACTGGAGGTGCCAGTTTCCGGCCTAAGGAGCAGCAACAAGCCAGTCTCCAAAGTATCAACACTAATTAAATCTTTCGACAGGACCGAGAGCCAACGTTGTGAGAGCAGGCCCACTACCAGCAAGCCTCCGGCTCTGAAAAATCCCCCCAAATTCGCTCCTCTTCCAGAAAGCAGTGTCAATTTCTGCTTTGATTCTGCATTTCTGACAGTCAGGAGGGTGCCCGCTGAAGTTTCCAACACCCATCAGAACAGCCACCAGCCAGGCAGGAAGCACGGAGAACAGGAGTCCTCCAAGAACCCAGAAATGGCCTGTCACAGCTCCAGCAGCTTCCTCCCGGCAGCCGACGACACGGCCACCTCATCTGAGTCAAAATTCCCCTCTCCACACCACAAGCCAGCCACGGGTGAGCCTGGGAGAGGCAAAGGCACCTTTCTGCACAGTGAAAATAGTGCTTTTGAGTCATGGAATGCCCACCAACCAAAGCTGCTGGAGAGAAAGGACGTGGCTGGAACCGTCCCAGAAAGCAAAGCTCCCAAGCACTATGGGGACACGACCTTGCTAAGTGAACCCCGTCCTCCTGAGTGCACAGTCTCTCCCTGCCAGGTTCAGGCCTGCCGCAGTCAGGAAGAGAACAGACTCACAGCAGGGGCTCTGTCCACATCCGTACCCTGGGGGTGCAGGGATCCAGGATCCCAGGTATTTGCTGTGGAAGGAAAAGCTCCCAGCTCACAGCCTGATTCTCAAGAGAAGCCAGCCCAGCCCCCATGGAGGAAGCCAAAGACTGGCAAAAAAGGGAAAGAAAGTCTACAAGATACCTCGGAAGAAAAGACACAGACCAAAAGGAGAGGCCCCCCTTTGTATACAAAACACAACCCCCAGGGACAGTTTCCAGAAAATGATGCTCTTGACCTGCCTGTGGAACCCAATGAACATTATGATCCCCCCTTTAACATCAGTAAGCTCCTGACCCCCATCATACCCAGCAAGCACACCCTGGATTCAGCAGAGAGCCAGCCGGCAGAGCAAACCCCATCACCCCCGGGACAGCTAAACGGATACCAAGAGAAGGAGCCCAGTGAATGTCAGTCTCGAGACAGCTACAAGTCCAAAGCCCCTAGCCTGCTGTTTAACCTCAAGGACGTGCGGAAGCGTGTTAAGAGCACATACAGTTCCTCACCTCTCTTGAAAGGGCTTGATGAGAAAACTAGAGGTAAGGTTGATGGAAAGCAAGAACCTGTGAGCAACGGTGTCATCCTACCCAATGGGCTTGAGGAAAGCCCTCCAAACGAGCTTTCTAAGGAGAGACCCGCTGATGACCCCACTGCATCACACATCAATCCCCAGAAGGTCCCTACAGCTGACCCCAGTGAGCCCTCTGCAGACAGCTATCTAACTCTTAGCGCAGCTTCGACTATCACCAAAGTTCCCTTCTATGTTAACGGGGAGGCTGCTGAGAGGAGCAGTTATGAGAATGACGAGGTGGAAGGCGAGTTGGAGATGGGTCCTGCCAGATCCGGCTGGTGTCCAGACTCCAGGGAACACCGCCCCAGGAAGCACCTATCCCTCAGGCTTTGCAGTAGGGATCCTGAGCCTGGAAGGGCTACAGAGAAAACGAAGACTCACCAGCTAGAGAATGAGCTCTCCAGATCTGTGTCCCAAGAGACAGAACCTGAGAGGGAGGCAGGACTTCAGAACACACACTTGAACCAGAAATTATCCCCAGGGCCCCTCTCTCCTGAGGAGGAAGATGTGTTTTACAGTGACAGCCAATCCGATTTTATGCCAAGCCTCAAGGGTAAGGCCAAATTCAGCACCAGCTCTTCAGATCAATCCTTTGCCTCATTTGATGATCAGCAGAAGACGTGGTTTACTGAGAACCAGCGGGAAGACAGGAGGAAGGATGTGAGTGCAGGTGACAGTCAGAAGGATGAGAAGGAGAACGTGGTGGGGAAGGATGAGCCGCAGTACTGTGCCTTAAGCAATGGGCACGCACGCCTGGAAGACGGCAGCCAGGGGGAAGCATTGCAAAGAGAAGGGGAAAGTGTGCCTGGAGGAAGAACCAGGAAGGCATCGGCAGAGGAAGCTAATTTCAGAGGCTCTTGGATTGGGGAAAATAAGAGTACGACCTTTTCACAGGCCAAAGACCTTACTCCCTCACCATCTTCTGCTTCAAACAGGCACATACTGTTTACCATTAAAGACAACACCCTCAGAGCCACCCCTGTAATTAAACCTATCATGCTGCCTCTCCTGAGGACCATGTCCTTGGAGGACTCCCTCAGCAGTGGCCACAAAGAGGAGGAATTGCCAAGGCCAGAATGGGGTGAGGATCCTGGTTTCTGTGCCCCCGAAAACCAGGACATTCTTGGTACATCGACACCCACTAACACGCCGAGCACACGTGTGAAGTGCATGGCCAACGAGGTCATGGAGGACCCCAGGCAGGGGTCCAGCATGGCCAGGATGGAGGCCTCTCAGCCAGCCCCAAAGGGGAATTTCCCATCTATGCCTCTGGTGGGAGAGGGGGACAGGGTGAAGCCACCACCAGATGCTGCACATGGCCTCATGGCAAGCAATTGCAAGAGCAGCTCTGCAGACTCAGGGAAGCCAGCGGCCCCACGGCACATTCCCACCATCACTTTACCCGAGGGCGACACAGAAGACCAGTCACCCCCATGGCAGCCTGAAACCTGTTGGGAAGAGCAGACACCAGGTTTCAAGAGTCACTTTTTGTCCACACCCAGAGCAGGGCCCCCTGGCAGAAGACTGGTCCCCGGTGAAATGGCAAATTCCCCTAACCCCAGCTCCCCGGGGGAGAGCAGTGCCTGCTCCCCTGCTGCCAGCAGCATGTGGGAGGAGCCTTCCCAGGCCCCTGGAGGACCAGAGCTGCTGCCCGAGGAGCCTCCTCAAGCCAGCCCCTGGGCCAGCTCCAGTCCTGCCAGGGTCACCAGGAGGGAGGACCTGACCCACGCCCTCGTGTGGGAGGGTGGCTCTGACCCCCTACTTGAGCTGTCGGCAGAAGACCTCCGAACCCTCTCTCCAAGAGGTTCATTGCTGGATGTGGCTACCAACCCAGCAGGCACCCCTGGGAGACTTGAGCTTCCTGCACAGCTAGAGAGGGCAGCAAGCAAGCCACCTGCAGTCCCACCCAAAACAGAGAAAGCCCTGCGGCGGGCAAAGAAGCTGGCAAGTAAGAGGAGGAAGACCGACCAGGCTCAGGAGAAGCACGGCGAGTCACAAGAGGGAAAACCCTGCCCAGAGGACTTGGAGCAGACACAGCAAAGGCCACTGTGCCCCAGAGAGAGGCTCCGACACAGTTTCCCTGTGGTCCGTTCCCTGCCCCCTCCCGTGCACCGCCACTCCGTGTCCGGCTTCTCGGAGCCTGTCGGGAGGCAGCCCGGAGGCCCCCAGTCCCTCACACCCCTGCCTGCCTACCCCGCCACCCAGAAGGTCCTCCAGGATCCGCAGTCCGGGGAGTACTTTGTCTTCGACTTGCCACTCCAGGTGAAAATCAAGACCTTCTATGACCCAGAGACGGGCAAGTACGTCAAAGTCTCCATCCCGTCCTCCGAGGGGGCCTCCCCAGAGCCGACCCCACCAGATGCCCTGGCCGCTCCCTATGTGCTGTACCCCGGCTTCCAGCCAGTGCCTGTGACGGCCTTGATGCCACTGCGCTGCTCCTCTCAGCTCTCCGCACCCACCTTCCTCAGGCAAGGCCCTCGTGCCTCCACGGCCCGTGCCAGGCCCCAGAGTGTCCACGAGTCTGGACTACAGCTGGCCTCAGGGCCTCATGGTGACTGCACCCCGCACTCTGCAGGCCAGCGCCCCCATGGGCCTCCCCAGAGCCCAGAAGAGGAGGATGCAGAAGCTCCAGGCCTGGGCATCATCTCCACCGACGACCTAGAGGACTTTGCCACAGAAGGCATTTCTTGAGTTACCGCAGGCTGAGCCCCACCCCCAGATGAACCCAGAGGAGCTTACTTCCCCCTCTCCCAAAACAAGCAGCACACACACACACATATGCAGACACATGCACACGCACACACATACACACAAACACACACACACACACACACACACACACATGATCGTCAACACATGGCCTTTTTAGATCCGTAAAATCCAGAAGGCAGTAGGGATCCCACCCGAAGGGCTCCCTGTCTCTCCTCTGATGGAGGGGCGCTGCTTGCTTGGCCCAGTCCCCTCCGTGCCAGTTCCCAGGTGCACTCTACTCCAGCCCTTCTCCATCCCTTCCTTCCTCCCTCTCCTGGCCTGCCCTGCTCTTCCCTGGCCCTGCCAACCAGGTGGGTGTGGCAAGGGCACCACCTGGTCCCAAGGGTCCCTCTGCACCTGCACCCGCCCACTCACTTGTAGGCTCCTTGATGAGCAAACCCCTGAGGCCCCCAGCTCAGACTCAGCAGCCATTTCAGGTCACCTCAGGCAAACTGGCTAAGGACCAGCGCAGAGCAATTTTGCAGAAATGATCATTTGCATAGAATGGGTTTCCTTCACAGGGAGAAACTTGCCTCTGAAAGCTATTTTCTGATCAAGAAAAGGCCCACTTTTTAAAAAGTGAAACAAGTTTGCAGATATGGTTGTGTCCCTGGACTCCTGTCTTCCTTCTGTGGGCAGTGGGGGTCAGGACTGACAGAGCCACCTCCCTGTCTACCACAGTCTGGTGTCCCACCTTGTCCCTCCAACACCTGTCCATGCCTTTGCAGGGCCAGGCCCTCCAGTAGGTCCTGACTGCCCCAATTTAGTGACCAGTACCTGTGCCCTCCACTTAAAAAGAAAGTGTGTTCACCCCCTCACCCCCTGTCGGTTCCTGACCTTTGGGGATTTGGAGGGAAGTGTCGGGATTCACTCAAGAGTTTGAGTTTTACCTAACGAAACAGGTCCACTGGCCCAGCACAGTAAAGCCAAAATCCACACTGAGGTTTGCAGTGGGAGAAAGGCAGGTGTTTATTTGCAGGGCACCAAGCAAGGAGAATCAGGTAGCTCACGCTTAAAACCTGACCTCCCCCGTGGCTTGCAAGCATGAATTTTTTAATGGCAAGGGAAATTTTCAGGAAAGCCGAAGTAGATGAAATTGTAAATCAACGCATGGAGGGTACACCTTGGTTTGGCGTAAAAAGGCAGGATATCTTGAACCAGGGACTTATGGGTCATAGGATGGAATCAAACATTTTCTGAATTGCAATTGGTTAAGGAAGAGAAGCTTTGTTTTAAAATTTGGGTTAGCAATAAGGAATGTTAGCTCTAGCTTGTGGGTGGGACTTCCCCCAGGTCCCCCAGGAAGAAATTTAGAACAAAGAGCCGTTCTCAGAGTTCAGTCCTCAGCTCCCTCTTCTCTGAGGTCTCTGTGCTAGTGGATCCGTTTGGTGGGGGTCTAGGTTTCTGAAAAACATCTCAGAGTCACGAGTTCAGATGTTCTCTTTAATTTCCAGAGCGAACCAAACACCCCAGGACTCTGGCTTCCTTGGCTGTTGTTTTAGGTTACTATTACCTTCCTGCTTATCAAGTTGCTCTTTTGCTTCTCAGGGCTAGCTAGGTGCCTGGAATTTCCCTTGAAAGAAGCCAAGATTTTCGTGTATTTCCGTGGTTGGGGAGGGGTCCTTGCTCGATCTTAAGAGCAGGTGCCCTCTGGCAGGCAGCCGGCTAGGAAGCAAAACCAGCACCCAGGGTCCTGATAGGTTTCCACACCATGGCTTCTACAGAAGCCTCTTAATGCTTGTTCTACTGGAAACACAGGGGCAAAACGTGCTTCCCTCTTTGTTTAGAAACCTCAGCAGCTGCCAGGACTGTGCTGCCCAGGGCGCAGGGGACCATGCAAGATGCATCGTCCTTGTCCTGTTGGCAAAGGCACCGTTTCCACACTGGAAGGATGAGGAGGCATTCAGTAAACCAAGTCCCAGACTCACACAAATACAGGGGCTTTGAGCACAGTTCAGGTCATGATTTGGATTCGAGATTTTATATCTTTTTGTTTTCCCAACAAGTGCAGCCACACCTGATTTTCATTGTGAAAATACCACACAATGCCCCCTCCTTTCCCCCCAGCCAATGCCATTCAATTTGGCCACACCTGTTGCCAGCCAGGCAACCAGCCAGGAGTGCAGGCAAACCACTATCCCAAAATCTGGTTCACATGAGTCACTCACTGGGTGCAAGAGACAAGAACAAAGTTGCATTTTGACCCTGGCTCCAAATCACCTCAAGCATCCTCTCCACTTTGTTTTCATCTCACTAAAACATGAGAAGGAATAACTCATTTTGCAATTCTCAGGACCCGAGGAAAAGAATTATCTAACAAAGGAAGAGTCCCTCCATTCAATAAGAACCACACTTATAGTAACTATGTCCCCACAGGAGAAAATATTACTTTGGGGAACTCATTTTGGGGAAGCAATCTTCTTCCTTAGAACCGATATTGGCAAGACTGTGGGTAGAACTGAACATATAAAGACTTGCTCCCAGCAAGTCAGCTAGAAGGACACCTCACTCCCTTACAGCAATGGGCCTGTGTTCCTGAAGCGGATAATGCCTCCAGAGAACACAAGCAGAGAGTCTCCATCCAGTGAAGCCCAACTCACTAGCCAGTGATGTTTTCCTCTTTCCATTTGCTTCTGAGGGAGGTCATGTATGCCTCCTTCCTTCCTCACTCCCTCCTTCTCTTTCTCCCTTCTTTGTTTCCCTCCCTCTCCCCTTCTCTCTCTTCCTTTCTTCTTTCCTCCCTCCTTTTTACAAACATTTGCACTGTGCCAGGCACTTTGATGGGTGCTGATGGTACCATGACAATAAGATCTGGTCTCTGCATTCAAGGAGTTAAAATCTAACAGAGAAGAAAGACAATTACAATCCCACATGTTGAGTAATTTAATAGATTGCTCTGAGGAACACCTAACTTGCTCTGGCTCCAGGAGTTGGCACCTGAGCCAAGCCAAGAAACACAAAGCTGTCCATTAATTTATGAAAAAATTCAGAATATCCCCAGCTTTAATCTATCAAAGATGACATTGATTAAATACTAATAGATTTGTCTTGCCATGTCAAAGTGTATTAATTTAGCTAATTGTTCATCAGCATTTCTAATCAGCACAAAAGCTGAACCAGTGTGGCCTCACAGGATAGACCTTGGTTGATATGTCCTTCAGCTTCTGAATTGATATTTCACTCACAGGGGTTGCCCAGCAAAACCACTATTTCTGCCATTGTGTTTAGTAGGACAGTGGTGAGATTTATGAGAACATGTTGTTTGTGAAAATTACCGATGTTGTCTGCATCTTCTGTGTAGTGCCCTGGCCCTTTTCTATGAGTATGACCCCTCTAAATGTCTCCTGGGGAGAGGACATGGAGGTGGGGCACCTCCAGGGAACAGTTGAAGGTCCCAGGCTATTCAGCTAAACATGACCAAGGGCTCACATCGTCAAGCATGTACCATGCACTGGCCCATGAGTGGGGAGCTTGAGCCTGGACTCGGTCCTCCCAGCAAACCCATGAGAGATGCCCTCATTAGCCACATTTTACTGTAAAGGAAACAAAGGTGCCAGGATGGGATTTAACTGCCCACGGTCACAGAGCCACTAAGTGAGGGGCCACACCAGGGACTTGGGCCCCTCTTACTTCTAAGTGGACTTTTCAATGCTCAGCCAGTAAGTGTGGTCCCTGGAGCAGCAGCCTCCACATCACCAGGGACTTGTGAGAAGTCCAGAATCCCTATCTCCATCTTCACAAGCTTCCCTGGGTGGTTGATCCATTTGTGCATTGAATTCTACATGCTGTCAGCCACTGCTTAGCCTGGATAAATTTTAGGGAGGTGCATTGGATGTCTTCATGTCTCCACAGCAGATGTCTTGTGCAAAGAAAGAGAGTAGCACATCTAGGTGGGGGAGTTGCAGGGAGCTGATTGACACTCAATGTGAAGAAGGCATCTCTGAGGACGAGCATCATCTTTTTTTTTTTTTTTTTTTTTTTTTTTTAAGACAGAGTCTCGCTCTGTTGCCCAGGCTGGAGTACAGTGGCATGATTTCAGCTCACTGCAACCTCCGCCTCCTGGATTCAAGCAATTATCCTGCCTCAGCTTCCTGAGTAGTTGAGATTACACGTGCGCACTACCGCACCTGGCTAATTTTTGTATTTTTAGAAGTGATGAGGTTTTGCCATATTGCCAAGCTGGTCTTGAACTCCTGACTCAAGTGATCCACCCACATTGGCTGCCCTAAGTACTGGGATTACAAGCATGAGCCACCACATCCAGCCACTAGCATCGTCTTGATATTACGTCAACCACTAGGGATAGCTGAGCTCCCTACCAATGGAAATGTACAATGGAAGCTGATGACCCCTTTCCTAAGACAAGGATGGATTCAGATATCAGAAGGGACCTAACTATCTTTTGGGACCCCAGGCTACTTTTGGGACTCCAGTATGCCAGTGGCAAGGATGCAAGGTCTCAACGGGAAGTGGCCATAGGCACACGATGTAAAACATTTGCATACAAAAGGGGAGCTCTGTGGCAAAACCTGAACTCTGTGTGTGTAGGAAACAATTTGGCCCAGATACACCATGAAGTTGGATACGCCTGTCTGTACAGGTCTTCCAAATCATTCAGATGTGAAGTCCAAAGTGAGTGAGCAAACTCGGAGCCACATCCCCGAGCTGTCACCACCAGAGTCTTGTTTAGGCTTCCTCAGTGTCACCTCACAGAGCCACCTGAGCAGTGGGCTCTTCCCCTTCCACCAGGTGGAAGAGTGGGCTCCTCCCTTAGCTGCTGGCTCCCAGCAGAATGCTCCAGCCTACCTAGGCCTCAGAATCATCTGTGCACTTATTAACACTTGTTATTATGCCAGCCCTATTTCCAGTTCACCTCATCAGATTCTCCAAGTGTGGGAAAGAGTCACTGTAGAGGTGCAAGTTCCTGAGAGGTTCTGGTTCACCCAGTCTCACAAATGCCACTCCAGAGCACAGTTCCACACCTGGACCCCACATACTGGCCAGGCACTGCCAGGCCCAGAGTTCTGCCCAGGGGACACCCTCCTGTGGAAGGTTATGTGGAGGAAGGACCTGGGGCAAGAAGAACTCAGAGGCACTACTTTCTCCATGTGGAAGTGGTGAATGGGGAAAGGCATGACAGCCCTCGAGGGCAACCCAGTGCAGCCTC